GTGATTTTTGAAATGCAACTGCAGTTAAAATTGGATTTCGCAGTTGCAAAGGGTTTTTCCCAGAGAAAAGAGAATTCCCTGCTCTTCTAAGACTTTCACTGTTTATGCATGAGGGAACGTCTCTACTAACTGTTAGAGAGCTGCTTCCAACTGTATCCTCTATCTTTCTTCGCTTCTGTAGCTCGTCCTGGTCAATCCTGTCGTGAGAATGAGATGTGCATTGGCGGTTCGATCTGTACGTTTCCGATTGCGCTTTGCCTCTGTCCTGGTGAATTGGAGGAAAGAGACGGCGAATGCGTGCTTCCACCATCAGCTTCAATACCAATCGAGAAAGGTTTGGCTTCTGCTTACGCTTTCAGGAAATGGTCAGGAACTTTCGAATGCTTTCTTGCTTGCATATTTAAAGATTGGAGGTTAGCATGATGGGATTTGAATTCTTATTAGTAATGTTTGAAGCTTTTCCATAGTATCATGCAAACCTCAAACTAAAGATTTTCCTTTCTGTGGCGGTATACCTATTTCTTCTAAAGTTCAGGTTTTACGAAACGTAATCTATGAATTGCGCTTCTATCGCACTAACTTTTACGTTATCAACTTTTCTGAAGATTAGAAAGCTTTACTCAGTTGCTTGCACCGGAAAGTTGTCCCGACTTTTCTTTTAAGTTCAAAATCATCTTTTCAAAACACTTTGTAAGAATGTAGCTTCAAAATCTCTACAACTGTTATGAAAGTAGATGATACGTTCAAAAATTAGTGCTTAACCTTGAGCGTACGAGATTTTCATCTGACGTGAAAGATTCATCTTTGCTTTAATACACATTACGTCGTCAAAGTTCTGTAGTTTGTTAGTCAGAATGGCTACATTTATCATTACAGTATCCTTATATCTCCCAGATCGATTACCCTATAGAGTGCCTTTGAAGATTGTTAATAATTAATTATAAGCTAAGGCTACTAATTTTTCCTAAGAAGCAGAATCAGTATTGTAGTGGGAATCGGAGCTCTCTGCTCGGAATTGGCTGAATGCGATCACGGATCAACCTGTATTATGGGTCGCTGCATTTGTGTTCCTCCA